CCCCTAACCAACCCCTTACCCAAGCATCTAGAGCCAACTTCAGACTAAAAATAACTCACACAGCTGACACTGAATCTGTGTGTGTGTGTGTGTGTGTGTGTGTGTGTGTGTGTGTGTGTGTTGTGTGTGTGTGTGTGTGTGTGTGTGTGTGTGTGTGTGTGTGTGTGTGTGTGTGTGTGTGTGTGTGTGTGTGTGTGTGTGTGTGTGTGTATGTGTGTGCGTGCGTGCATGCATGCTTGCGTGTGTGCCTCTTTGTTGGGCTAAAGAGAACCACTCCGTTCAATTTCATTCTGCTTCTATGTAACAATTTAGAGTTTCTGCACATGCACCGGGCATCTACAACCTGATTGTGTTTATACATGACTTATTATGGCCTGTTCTTGTGGCTTTCTGCATGAGCACATAAGACTCCACCATTATAAATGTGACGCTTCCACTTATGAGACTCTCAGTCACAAAGAGCAGGCTTGTCCAACACTATAATTATCCTGTTTGAGTTCCTTTCAACAGGGTGAGATCTCCTCTCTCTGATAAAAATAAGTGGAACCAATTCACTCAGCAAAACACAAAAGATGATTCAAAACCAATTTTTTTGTATGATCGCCCGAGTTAATTCAAATTGTGCATTCATTTACAGGCAGGTTCTGTGATGTGCCTTGGGTGAGGGCATAAGGTCAACTGCATTTCATTTTGTACTTTCTAACTGCTTCAAATACATCAAGACCTTGAGACTGGTAAAAACACTCAAACACATACATTAAACAGGACCATTAAACAGCCAAATTAAGAAAAAAATACTCAACTGTTGGGAATAAAGCATTTAACCAGACATGGCAGCTAAAGAGCATTACAATGAAATACAAAGGTGGTTTTGTTGAGGCATGGGATGAATAGGTCAAATGAACAGCTGAATACTATGGTGTACCTCTCGAGAATAATTATTTAATAGCTAAAGTAATTTCCGTGTTAATTGTACCATACTAGTGGGACTGCTTCAGGACAGAACTATGAGCTTGAAGGAAACTACCTTCTGCATTTTCTATTCATCAGCAACATCTTAATGTTGGGTCTTTCTCAGTTAGAAAAGCTCTCACATTATCCCTCAAAAGTTCTCACTCTCATTTCTAAATGACTTTCCTCTTTCTTGCTCTCTTTCTCACATTTCCTTCTTCCTTCAAAAACATCTCTCTGCCAATCTGTCATCTTTTCAAACACACTGCTTTATCTTATCAGTTTCTCTACCCATAACCTCTCTTGTTCCTGCTCTGTCAACACTTCCATGATTAATTGGTCGAATGTACTTATTGTAAGTCGCTTTGGATAAAAGCGTCAGCTAAATGCAATGTAATGTAATGTAATTAAATCCTCCTTGTAGTTCCATTGATATACTACAAACATTTGTTTAAACTATGTGTTGATGGAAAATGTAATGGGCTTTATTTATCATTTGGTAATGTAATATGTTATTCTATTTTTGTGGAAGATGCTACAATACCATCTGGCAGTATAACATTCTAATTAATACCAAGCAACCTTTTGACAGTTTACTTTATGGATATCTATGAATCTAAACATGGCGCAGTGATGTTTTAACGTCTGGTGACGTCGAGCAGGGTGAATCACTGTTTCAACATTTTCCATGAACTGCAGATGTCAACCAAATTGATCAGATGGCCTTGAGGAATCCATCTCCATCATTGTTTATGTGTCTTTCTTCTATCCCTTTTCCATGATATTACTTCCATTTACATCCCTTGACGTTCTGTGAGTTTTTTTCATCTTTAGATTCTGTTCCTGGTCCCTTTACTATTGAAACCCCTCTCCTTCAGCAGGAGAGCACGCACACACACACACACACACACACACACACACACACACACACACACACACACACACACACACACACACACACACACACACACACACACACACACACACACACACACACACACACACACACACACACACACACACCAAAGTTATTTACCAGAAAGTTGAGAAAGCTCCAAAGGTCAGGACTCAAGGTTGTGTTTTGAGAGCTATTATTAATGCAACAATACAGAGTGCATTCCTAGACGGGACAAAACAGATTGAATTGTCGGTAAAACAACAAACACTTGAGATCAGTAACCAGTTATGTCAACATTACAACGCCTTCAATACAACTTATGGTAGTAAAACTGTGAAGAAAAAGATACTGATAGCTAGTAGACTTTTATCTGAATCACAGTATGTGTCACCGATGATACTGATCTTTGAAAGCCTTCAGAATCTCCCAGTCAAACTGTGATAAAGTGATTTACACAGTGCATTGCCAGACATCGCTGCTGTTGCCAAATATAGTTCAGCCCGTTATGCTGACATGTAGCAGTAAAGCACCCACATTTTGAACATTTCATGTGTACACTACACTAATTAATTACAAGTAAAACGATTGGTCATTCCTGAATGAAAGAAGCTGATAAAACTGACTTTAATCTATTTGCAATCGGATTTTTCAAGTACAAAACTTGTTGGAAGAAAAAAACCTGCAGTTTCTCTTCCAGTCTTGTCCATGTCCACACATCTGCTGCCCATCTCTTCTCACCATCACTTGTTTATTTGGAAGGAATAACAACCTGTCTCCTTTTAAAATACACACATACAGACGCCACATGCATTGTTAACATCTCTCTGTATCTTCTCACTGTTATCATTCCTCTTTCTATCTGACCCAGTGACAAACCCAATCAGAATGTGCAGGCAGAAAGGAAAAATGAACAGAGGAGCGAGTGACGCCTATAAAGTGAACAGAAACAAAGAGCGTAGATTGGTTATTTCCATTACGCATTTAAATCCATTGAAGCCCAGACCTAGGCATGACACTCTTTGGATATACAGTATTCCTAACTTACAGTGCCAATAAAAGCCAGCGACAAACAGAAATATACCTAGAAACACTTGATTATATTTGTTATTGTGCAGTAAATGGAGTCTGGATTGCTGTCAATCTTCTAGACCATAAAGTAGTCCTGTAGAGCAGAAGCTGGAGCAAGCTGTCCCCAAAGTCGCTGCTTAATAATATAATACTGCCAGTTAATGAAACAAGCTGTGCCATGTGTTTTAAATAGGGCATGACACCCTTAAAGGTCTGATGTCTGACACAGAGAGATGCAGAACAGATTATCCTTTAACTGGTCCCCCAAATAAGTGCAACTTAACATGTGTGAGATTTGTTCGGTTAGGCACGAGCCCGCTCTTTTGGTTGCCATAATTAGGTAATTTCAAGTAAAAGCCAATAACTGATACAAATCTTGTTCTGTTCGTCAAGGCGGTTGAAAACATTACCAATAAAAGATTAATGTTAAAGGAACACTTTGACAAAATGGGGAAAAAATGCTTATTCACTTTGTTTCCAGTCTTAATGCAAAGCTATACTGACCACCGTCTGGCTGTTGCTTCTTATTTAACAGTCAGACAAATGTTTTTAATGTATTCCTTTGAGAGAAAATATATATGGTGTGCCAGTAATAATAAATCATATGTTTCAAAAAGGATGTGATGAGTCCTGCAAAGCACAAAGATCATATCAACCTTGTTCACTATATTTCAAACAGAGGATGAAGGACGGAAATGGTAAATCTATGAAAGGTCTCATCCACAGTTAGAAACCTTTTGTGATGTCTTAGCAAATGAACAAGTAATTGAAACAGCTAAGCGGTATTAATAAAAAGACGGACAGACCGATTGGCTGTAAATTTGCGATGTCGTTGTCAGCACAACTGTTGTTGACCTTCTTCATCAACCCTCAACTAACTTTAGCCAAGATTTATTCCAGAAACGTCTTCACACATCATAGAAAAGAGTTTGATCATTGATCTCTCTTTCAAAGTTACAAACACACACTGACCTTTAGTTATTATAAGCCCTGGAGTATTACAGTTTGTGATCTCTTCCACAGAACCAAAATAAAACTTATTTGGTCTGTCATCATTTGGACACAAATTAGAGGACATACCCAGTAGCCTCAAATGACGGAAGGGGTGAAAGAAATATTAAAGTCATCGAGGATGGACAGAATGTGCAGTCCAGACATGCAGCCACAAAAGGAAACTGAGCATTTAATTACTTCAATTAAGTAAATTCAGATTTCAGGTTTAGATATGACAATTCATTTTTCCTATGTTTCTAGTACCCTGTAAATCTGCTCCTCTATTTAGTGACCTCAAATCCAAAAAGGACAAGCGTAGGAGCCTTGCACATCCCTCAGAGTTTAAATGAAAAAGCATGTTTGCCTACAGGTGATGCCAAGAAACCGGACAATCCAAACCACATGAGATCCAATATATAACCAAAAACCCACAGACACAAAGACACACGCAACTGCATGTGATAAATCAGCTCCACTGTACAACAGGATTCTACCAAATCGTGAGGAGTAGCCCCTGGGGAAGGATGGTCCACATGTGTGATACTCTCGCTGTGATTTCAGTTATTCATTTTTTCTTCGGGGAATGGGAGATGAGGCAGAACTAATGGTGTTACTGTGTGTTAGATTAACTCTAACAACAACAGTGAACATCTGCCTGTATGCGGGATGTCTGGAGTTCAAAGTGGAAGCATGGACTTAAGAGTTTGGGTAGAGAACATATAAATGTGCTCTGGGTTTGTCACACTAAAGGAATAGGTGTTATTATAACCACCCAGCCAAATTAGAATGATTAAATAACAGCAAGTACATACATTTAGGTTTCAGCATTGTAAATAAATTATTATAAGCATAATTATTTGAAATACTGGGGCTGTGTCTGCTGAAGGTGCTGAGAAAACACCCAATTCAGGAGAGGGCTGCAAACATATAATCAGTATAAACAATACTTCCTGTTTGCCATTGTGCATCCTTTATGAGGCACTAGGCTTCAGCTGGCTTAGCCCTATGCTTACTTGAATGCCCACCTGCTATAGACACATACATGTACACACACAAACACACACACACTGACTGTGAGATCATGACTTACTTCTGCAGTTTGAGGCTGAGGTTTCCACTGCAGCTCTTGATCTTGTTCTGGGCCTCTAGGTGATTCATGCCCTCCGTGGCGATGCCATCAATAGACAGAACCATGTCTCCAATACCAATGCCCCCTTTAGCCGCCTTCCCACCATCCGTCAGCTGCAGGCGCACAAAACCACAGACAGTTAAAATTATATACAAACAGCATCAAATTCAAGATTATTAAGGGATTAGGAGGGTGGGATGTGCACATTACCTCTGTATTTATCACAGGATTTATGGATCTATTCTAGTATTTTGGCAAAGCTAATGAAAGAGCTGGTTCTTTACCACATAATGGTGAGCCTAGTGTACATTCACTGATGCGTGTCTAATAGCAGGAGCCTTCGTCTTTGAGTTACCTTTGTTTCTTCTTTATGACCTGCTGTCATACTGGGCTTACAACGTGTTAGAGGAACATTCAAAATGTCTCTTAACCACAACATGTGAGAAATAAAGATCACAACTATAATGCATTCCTTGTGTCCAACTTCTACTCTACTGTATGAAGCCATTTCATATGGTAAGTGAGTGAACATTGAAAATAAGATTACAAAATATACAGCATTACAGAGTATAGGCTAGATTTTGATATAAACATGTATCAAACAAATAATCATTTAAAGTTTAAGAGCCATTTTTTAAGGAGCAGTTCAACAAAAAAGGTGGTGTTTGGTAATGTCTGCTTCTGAAAATAGAAAAATTAAGCTTAAACATTAGAGATCAACTAAAGAACATCTAATCCCAGTAAAAAGAAATCATGTAATTATACTTCGTACAAAATGCAATTCAAAAGGTGACAAATAGCTAATGGGACCTAGCGTCACGGTTTAGACAGATATTTGTTTTATTGGCTTTGAGGAAACAGCAAGCCAGACATCTCTTGTTTTTCACGCATCATAAAATATACATACCCTTCTTTTGTCTCTGGTTGTTAGTGTCTCCTATGAATTTTGAGGTATACTTGAAATATCTGCATCCAAACAAGGTTTAATTGCTGTACTTCCACTCTGGGGGAAGCTGGTTAATTTGAACCAGATTCAAGCCACACACAGAACTCATGCTGAACAGCAGGTCTGGTATTTAGTACCAGCATGTTAAACATGGCTTTAACATGGACACATGCTGTACGGTATCAACTCTGTTCTTGACAGAAATGTTAAATACATAATTATAATAATGTCCGGGGAACAAATGCAGCATTTTCCGCACCCATACTGTAGTTGCTGCTGTAGACCATCTATTTACGAGCAATGCTAAACAGATTTTGTAAACAAGTTTTGAGCAACAGTCGCGAGGAAACTAACCACTTAACTGGCACCAAGTAGGTCTGAGTCTACACCAAAATAAAATGTGATTAAATGTGTAAGGACATGTGTAATGTGTTGAAACTCACGTGAGTTAAAGTAAGTGCTATTGAGGTACATTTACACAAATGTTTTTCATTAAAAACACATGTATCACTATTATGTTAATAATATGTTTATAATAAAAAAATCCTATTTGTGTTTGTTTGTGCGATTAAAATGTCTTACTTGAAGTACTGTTTTAGTATCTGTCAATGTATTTTGTTGTGTTACTGTCTTTACATCACCGTCACCATCACAGAGAAGGCAATACATTGTGGCAGCATGTGTTGTATAAACCAGAGCCATTCCTATCAGTCGGCTCAGGAGGACTGTGACACATTTGGAAATGTGCGTCGGACGTTACACACTACATCTCTTTTCCTTTTCCCATGACTTAAATGGACTGTATCTAAGACCAATGTGAAGGTATTATTACAACACATTTCTGTATAACAATTATTGATATCACATTCATTTTATAACAATTTGGTTCAGCGACTTTGTAGTATATTATTCATTTATGACAAGTCCTTCAAGAACAAGAGGAAGCTGCAGCTGTGATTCTGACCATTCTTGGTCACACACAAGGTCCAAGTTTGTCCAAAGAAGAGTGAGGTCATTTGTTTCTTTTGACAGAGTGAAAAAGGACCACACAGGACACTTCACTGGACACACACATGCACACAAACCACTTTTGGGGTAGTTATTTGTACAGTATGGAGTGGCTCTTTCTTGACAGCCATATATCACTCCTAGAGCAGCTTTTTAATCTGGGGCCTCAAGAAATCTGTTGTTGCTGAATCAGGGACGGCAAGGATGATAAAGTGTAATGTGGGTTCGGTCCTCTTTGGTGTGTAACATCCTCCTACAGTATGTGTCTGTGTCCTCTGCCTCTATCTTTGTCTTTCAGACACACACACACACACACACACACACACACACACACACACACACACACACACACACACACACACACACACACACACACACACACACACCATGTATACATCACTTCAGGGGACATTACATTGACTTACATGCATTTGCTGGAGACTTATCCTAACCTTAACCATAACCAACACATGCCTAACCCTAACCCTTACCCTTAACCTTACCCTAAACCTAACCAAGTCTTCACCCTGAAATTAATGATTCCCCTCATGGGGACCTCCAATTTGTCCCCATAAGGGAGGCGAGTCCCCACACGTGACTGTGTAAACAGATTTAGGTCCCCATAAGTATAGTAATGCTAGGCCACCCACACACACACACACACACACACACACACACACACACACACACACACACACACACACACACACACACACACACACACACACACACACACACACACACACACACACACACAAAGACAGACAGACAAAGACAGACAGACACACAAAGACAGACAGACAAAGACAGACAGACACAGGCCGGGCTAATAAAAGAGGCTCTCGGATTAGTGTTAAGTCTCTGTGGCCCCAACCTTTTATAGTCATATTAGCCCAACACACGCAACATCACTCACCACCACTCACAACCACAGAGGGCAGGAAGAAGAGAGTAATGAGGGATCGACTTGACACTGATTAGAATAGCGTGGATGTAAGGGAAGGAAAAGAGAGAGAAAGGAGAAAAACGTCTCCAGCTGAATCTGTGGGCTCTTTCTTCTATGTGCATTTTGACCCATACTGAGGGGTGTGTTCATACCAACCACTTTGGCACTGTTATGGACCAAACGCTCACCACAAAATGTTCTATTATATGTTCGACCCCAATTAGTACTCTGTTTCTGCCCCCCACATACAACCGCTACATCTCTCTCTCAAAAACACTTACCCAAACTCTGCTTCTCTCTGTAGTAACCTAAAACTACACCAGAAAATAGTCTATACAACATAAAGAGAATATACATGTTTAAGTCTAAATAAATTGTTCATGATGGCAGGAAACCAGAAATGTTTAAAAAAAAACATTTGTTTTCAATAACTACGATTACAAAGATTTCAGAGGTCAAAGTAGTTTCAATTTTCACATGAAAGAGAGTGCAACAAGTCATTGAGATAATCAGAAACAGAAATCTAAATAATCTGTCTATGCAACAAGCCAGGCCCTTCAAGGTTCCCAGGGTGTTTGATTTATGGCTCTGTTTCTTTGGCCATGACAGAAAACAGCAGCTTTAACACTATGCACTTATCCGCAGGAGACGGTAATACAAAATATGTATGTACTTTCCTAGTGTTCTATAAAGCACAACCTCTGACAGCAGCTGAGCTTAGCTCCAAATCTGCAGGGACATCGGTTAACACTTGACCACAATTTATATTAACAACAGAGCCCCCATCACAAATACCCTGGCCGTGAAACAACAACAAAATATGACTGAAGCAAAAAAACAGTTTTGCTAACGCTCAATTGTCAATACGAACAGAATATTTGCAATTAAATGAATCGGATGGTCAGAACCAAATTAAATGACAAAAAATATGATCTGTAATTTTTCCTTAACAGGAAAGGAAAACAACTTTTTCTTATCTGATGAACCTATATTCAGGGTCTGCTAGACGAAGCTAACAATGGCAACTTTACAAGAGCATAATAAAGTGTGTTGTTTATATTATATGTTTGATGCAGCTCTAACTCATTTTTTACAACTTCTAATAGCTGGTATCTGCTTTTACATGCTTTCTTTATAACATGCCTATTATTCTGCATTTTCAAACGACACTACCTTTGTTTAAAACAGACTCCTGTCTTATTATATATTCATGTAAAAGATAAAGAGTCAATATTCTTGTCATCACACTCAAAAGCAAGGGAAAACACATGCAGTGTGTTAAAGCCTTCACTGATGAACCTTCTAGCAAAGTGTTCAACACACATATCGTCTGATTTAAGTGCTAGGAAAATGTAAAGCACTTCCAACACAACAGAAAAGTCTAGCTGGAGTGCTGAAACATTGTCAGGTTTGAGCATAGACTGAACAGCTTGAGTGCTTTGAACAATGCCTGCTTTCAGCACAAGAAGTGAGATGACAGGCAGATTGTTTGGTTAACATCACACTACGATTGAAACGCTGAGAGCAGGAGACACACATACCCAAAAATGACCCCTTGTAATTCAACATTCAAAAAAGCGGCTTCCATATGCAAGCCTTCAGAATTATTTATTTACTGAGGCTGGACATCCAGCAGGATATATTTCAGTGTGATCCTACATGAAACAAATGTTTTTATTTAAAATAAAGGCAGTTTAGGGGCTCAAATCTCACGAAGAAAAACAAAAAAAACAAATAAATGAATATGAATAAAGAAATTGAGTTTGAAGGGTACGAGACAGACTGGAATAAATATAGAGGTGAGGGAGATATACAGTATAAGGGACGTAGAGGGATAGAGACGGGAAAAAGTTATAACAGAGAAAGGGAATGATTAAAAAAGTGCAGGAGACAGAAGCTCAGGCAGACATCTCGTCTGTATGATCCATCAGTCACACATGTTAAACTGTGTTAGGCAACGTTTCACTTTTACGCTCCTGAAGGAGGTAAATCATGCAGTTTTGTCATCTGCATTGTAGAAATGCCTGAAACAGGATCTAGTGATTATATGATAAAATCCACTGGTCTTTTTGTAACTGTTATAAAGAGTCTGATGCTGGCACTTTGCTATAAAGTCAAAAGTTACATTTATGAAACTGATGATCAGATCCAAAACTCCATGTATGAAGTATGAGTAATCCTAAAACGATGCACTAATGTAATGGAGAAATAAT